CGGGTCCCGGGTCAACCCGCCGGGCCGGGCCGGGTTTTAAAACTATGTTTTCAACTCATTTTAACCATAAAACACATTGCAAATACCCTTAAAACACCAAGAAACCAATCTATCAACTCATTAAATCCAAAAAACAGTTAAAAACAATAAATCAAATCAGAAAAAAATGCACCATTGATTTAGATCTAGTTTTTTAATCTACATTGAGGTTTAAAATAACCACCATACGACTCCATTCACCTTATAAAACATGTCGACATCAATTTTAACTGTTTGGTGGGCAGAATCGTTACCAACAAAGAGTTTTCTCTCTCTTCACCAGAACACAACGACCCTTCTCTTTTTTCTCGTACAAAAAGAATTACAAAACAAGAAAATTAAAGATTGGTATCAAAATATAATTTTTTTTTTAAATTAAAGGGATCAATCACCTTATAACAAAAATAATCAGGGACTAAGATGTATTTCACAAAATAAATTTAAAAGCACCACTTATATTACTCGTGTTTTTCATTTTAATCTATTATCTTTCAATTCAACCCTTTCTCTCCAAAAAAAATATTATTCGGTTATAATTTTATTTCAAAATAGCTTAATTGTGTAAAAGTTTGATGGTTAAATTAAATTTAAAATTAAAATAACGTGACATTAGTTTTTGTTATTTTACCTTCCTTTTAGGTTTTAGGTATGTTTGTTTATGTTTTTTTAAAATATTTCTAAAAAAATTAATTTTTTATTTTAAATTAATATATTTTTAGTATTTTTAAATTATTTTGATGTATTGATATTAAAAATATTTTTTTAAAAATTAAAAATTGATGTATTGATATTAAAAATATTTTTTTAAAAAAAATATTAATATATATTTTAATATAAAAAATTATTTAAAAAATAAACACGATATTCCCAAACAAATTAATTAACAACAGCCACTAAATTTTCCAAACTGGTTTTATAGTTTTCAATTATATAAGATATATTTCTGGAATGCGTATTTCACAGTATTTGACCTGGATAAATTACTGTATTTCATAACTAACCATATCTGATTGTGGCTCGCTTCCATACAACTGGCATGCACTCGGTTTCAAGAAAGGAAATACAAATTGTAGGTATAGCCTTGGAGATTGGGATGTGGTTGTCGCCATGGCTGCACAATAGCTGTAGTTTTGTCACTGTAGTGATGGTCAGAGACAAAGACGATAAGTTAAAAGAAAACTTAGCAAAAAAGTTGTGGACACTATAAAAATGTTTTATAAGTTCCAAGATGGAGGTTATGAAAAGAAAAGAAAAAATAGTTTTTGAGTATGTAACGAGTCCCGCTTCGCTCTCCTTTGCTGCCAGATCAAAAATTAATTTTAATGTTTTAAAAAATAAATATATAGATACTGTTAATTTTGTATAAAGAAAAATTTCAAAATTAATATATAGATACTGTTAATTTTGTATAAACTAAGAAAAATTTCAAAATGAAATTGAATACTTGATTGCATGCATTTAATAAAATTAATTAATAATTATATCAATTAATAACTAATAGAAAAATCATTAATACTAATTAAAAACTAAACTAGTAATGTCAAAGATAAATACAAATAATAAAATATGATTCAGCATTGCATTGTACTATTTAATATTTTTTTAGAAGAAATTAAAATTAAAACTCAATCAGAACAAAATAATTTCCTAGTATAATTTCTTTTGTTTTTAATAATTTAATTTGACTGTAATTGTGACTCCTTAATTTTAAATTAAATTGTATTTGAGTTGACTTGATATACTTGTCTAAGTTAGTGAGGCCAATTATGACTTAGCCATTACACTAAAAATTTTATTTAATAAAAAAAATTCCGACCACAATAATTTTAATATTTAAAAAAAAAAGATTCAAAACCTAATCAAAACAAAATAACTTGTTGGGCTGGTATAATTCCTTTTGTTTTTTTATTAATTTGACTTGGCTTTATAACATGGCTTTTCACATAATTTGAATTTTAAATTAAATCAAGTTAGAGCCAGCTTAATATGCTCATTCAAGCTAATAGGTCCAAATATAACTTGGTTATTACACTCAAAACCTAGTTTTATAATAAAGAATTCAAGTCACAATGATTTTAATATTATTTGAAAAGGTTTAGAACTTAATTAAAGAAAGATAACTTACTGGTAAACACCTTTATAGCCCAAAAAAAAACTCTTAACTCAAAACCCTCTAAATTGGTAATGAAAAACCCAGAATCAAGTTAGAGAAAATTTGTCATTTTAATCTATTTTTTTATAAAATAAAAGGTAAAAAAAATATAAATACAATTAGAATGTTTGTAGTATGCCTCTCGGAATTTCAATAATACCTTTTTAGTTGAAACACATTTCTAAACAAGGTATTTAAACCAACAAATATAACACTGAAATATCTCTTAACAAGATAAACATAAGTTATAAATTTGAAAGGAAAATCAAAACTTAAAATGAAAAGTAAACACTAAAATATGAGATTAGAAAAAATGTATAAAAATCTAAAAAATAATGTTTTAAACTTTTCTTTCATTTTTTTTTTATAGTAAATTTTGAAAGCTAAGAAGTTAAAGAATTAATTCTATAAATAATTAATATCTGATTAAGCAACATAAATTAAGAATAACGTATGAATATAAAGGTTATAAATTTTTATTTTTAAGTTGAAAAAATTATTAAGATTTGCAACAAAAGCTTCTAGAAAAGACTACTAACATTAATGAATTAGACTAGACAAATAATAAGAATAAATAAATAGTTCTTCACAGACTAACCGCAAGTTTAAATTTCAATTAGCAAAAAATAATTTTTTATGACTCAAAATATTATTTTATAACAAATTAAAACTCAAGCTGAAACTTAGCCCAAAGCTCGAGCATGAGTTAGATTAATGCGTGTGTCTTGAGATTTAAGCCTAGAATCCACTTTGTGTATGACCTTTTTGTTTTAAAAAATTAAATGTTTTTTGAGCTCAATTTTAATTTTTCATCTTCTCATTTTATAAA